GATCTTCACGTATGTGTATGTCTATCTGACTGTTTGTTTGTCCGTGATTTATATTTGTAATATAAGGAACCACTTCTTTTCTATGTGGTTTTTCACTAGCTTGCCTCAATAAAGAGATGTGCACGCATCCATGCACATTTCTTTCCTATGTGGTTTTCGCTTAAAAAGATGTGAACACGCATGCACGCCCACATGTAGAAAAGTAATAATACCCAGGTGCAAAACCTCAGGGTCCACTTAGTATGGGTGCAAAATTTCAAGTTTCTAGGTTCTTTCCTCTTGGAGCTATGGCAGTCACACACACACACAGACACGCCATTTTATTATTGTAAATACTGCAGTAATAGCACGAATGTTAATCCTGTCTTATGAAATTTTTGTTGAAAATACTTAATTTAATTGAATTCTCATGGAAATTGTTTGTTTTTTTATGCCTGAAAAGAAAAACACTTGATATTAATAGTTCCTACATGGCAGCACATTATCGCACAGCAGCTATTGAAATATAGGTTATGTGGAAAGCAGAGGCAGTCGTTTTTATAATCTTTCCCTTTTGTGCTGAAGCCTCTGTTTTGTTTTGAAATTTCATGGAAGCAAGTGCCTATGATGACCACCACTATGCTCTGGATTTTATGTTCAGCAATGAGCTGGACTTCATCAATGACTCAAAGCTTTTGCAATTGGCCTGGTATAGCTCTTGGATGAAAAAATGTTGCTGGCCAAAGCATAAGTCATGTGGGATCTCAATGAGTCATATGTTGAGCAGGCTTTGAAGCTTTCTTAGGCTGGAAAGTTCCAGTCAAAAGTGGGTCTACTCACAGAAACCAAGCTTTCATTAGACACAGTACTGCCAACAGCTGTGAAGAAATGGCTACAGCCTACTATGTCTATGATGATCAAGCTATGCCTGCCACAGCCACCAAAGAAAGGATCTCCTACTGTAAAAATTATGGAATCTCAATGGATGTCTCATAATTGGAAACCTCTCCTGAAATGTTCTATTGGAATATGTTTGAATATCACTTAGCAAGACACCAGATGTGCATCCACCTGAACTACTAAATCCCAAAGCTCGACAAGTCTTCCCAGAGTTGAAGTTGCCTCAAGGGGTGACTGAGTATTGGGGAGACTAGGACGAAGCATTCATCAATGCTTGACCAACAACCCACCACCATCACAACTGAAATTCCAACAGTCCCAACCATTGAAGAGTAGATGAGCACCTCTACTAATGTTAACTGTAAGAGCTTTCTGAGTCAGCGACGATGCCTCAACTTCCATGGCTGGTGTTGCTGGCTTCTTGGACCAGCCCATAGATGAAGAGAAAAGCCTCCTCATTGACAGTAGTTGAGCCAGCACTGTCCTATGTCTTCAATAACCAATGCACACTGCATCTCCATTATCCAAAGATGACCACATGTCAGACTAAGGTCTAGTCACTCTATAACAGGAGGATCAGCTGAGATGAAGAGCTACATCTGCATCATGGCTTGAAATAGAAGTATGCCATTTGTGGAGTTAAGATGACATATTATGTGTGTATCTGTATTTTTTATATATCATTGTCAGTTTCATTCAATGTTGTACATATATCATTGTCAGTTTCAATCAGTGTTGTACAGATATCTATATATGTATATATATATATATATGCATATATGTGTATGCATTTGTTCATTTTTTTATTCAATGTTGAATGTATGTTTAAAGGGTTTACTTAGTTTTTTTCTTGTTCATCATAAGGATTGTCTTATGATTCCTACTTTATATCATGTCATAGTTGTAATTACAGTGTTCTTGTTAGAAGGGTTCATTTTATATTGTGCTTTGTGAATATTGTTAAACGAGTTATTGTTTGTTTTGATCTTTGTATATGGCTATATTAAAGTTAAATGTTTCTTGAAAATTGTGTATGTTTATCTTTGTTAAAGGGATTTTGTTTTAATGTGATTATCAATGTTAAAAGGTTATTTCTGTGTATAGTATTATTATTAATTATTTTTATTCTATGTGAAATGATGTTTCCTTTCTTTTTGTCTTAATCTTTACATTCAAGGATTTATTTTGTACTTTTTTCATTATTTAGATTTTCAACTGCATGCTTGTGTATACGTGTGTATATTCTACTTTGATTATGTTTTAGTTTTTATTGTCTTGCAAAGGTCTGTTTTGAACATGTTACATTCAGTTCATCATAGAAAATGTTTCATTACTATATATGACTTCAAGGTTAAAGGGTCTATGATAACTCTTTCATTATAACCTTTTGCAGTTACATTCAAAATTTAATTAAACCATTTCATTATCAACATGTTAGTAAACCTGAAAGTGCAGTTTATAATTCAGATGTTTATATTGTCTGTGTTTTATCTTCCTAGCTTAAAAAGAACACTGAGAAACGTTATCAATCTGTACTTTTCTACATTATGTGATGCATTTAAGCTAATCAACTTTATATGACTGATGGACATGTTTATAGCCAATAGGAAGAGCAGAGCTTTGTCTACAGGAAGGTAGTTACCAGTTGTTTAGTTTTGGTACCAACATTATTCATTTTACCAAAGGCTTTAGCTGTACAATCATTAAAATTGCTACTTTGAATAGTTAACAATATTTTTATAAAATATTTATAGCTTTCTTAGAAAGATGGATAAATTATAATAGTTTTGGGATATTCTTTTCTAGTGACTGACATATTTTAGTGAAATAAAATTCATATTTGAAAGCTACATGAATTCTGTTTTGGACACCCAAATTTGTGAGACTAAATGAGTGCTATAAATCCATATTTCTTATGTATATATGTATATTTTTAACTTATTGTTACATGTTTTTTAACAAATGTAAATAAAATGTAAAAAATTATAAACTTCTCACCTTAGCTTAACAAAACTTCAATAAAACACTAATTTGACCATGTGTAACAGGACACCTCATAATCATGTGGTGTTTACTTGAGCTCTACAGTAAACAGCTACTGGGCTCCTACTGTCAATTATTGCTTTTCACGTGTAGGAAGATACTACTTCATTGGATGAAAATGTTAATGGTTGAAACTGTAACTTGAAACTTTATGATTAATACTGCAGTCAGTGCAGGTGAGAGAATAATACTATTCATTGTATTTCACATTTTTCCACTTTTCATTTCACTGTACACTGATGATTTCACTAAGATATAAAGTTTTACCAAAAAATGACTTTTGATATTCATTTAGAAAGTTCTGTAGGTTACACAAATGGAATAAGAAACTGTAAAATGAAAAGATATATTTTTATTCTTAGCATGAAAATCATCTTTTGCTCACACTGAATCAGAAAAGGTTTTGGGAATTCACAGATAAATCTTTAATAGAAATACTTTATTAAAATATCTGATCTTTTGTGTACAAAATACATTTAATGTTGAGTGAAAGACTGCAAAATATTGAATTTAAACAGTCTAGTAGATGATCAAAAATTTTAGAGAAGGACCAAATAACCCTCTAATATTGGAACTTTCAATATTGCTAATATTGAAATACCAATATACATTACAAATGAAATATCTAAGCTATATAGATCAGTGGTATGTTAAGATAAAACTGACTATTCCTAGAGCAATGGGACAGGTCCACTGAATAACAGGAGGCTGACAAAATAACTATTACAGAGTAATACTGAGTTTGTCTGAATACATGAGTTCATGAGAATGAAATAAAGAAACTGGACACAAAATACTATACAGAAAAGCATGATCTTTATTATAACTGAACACACAAACACAAAGCATGTACTTGGTTATATGATGGACAGTCGCTTCTACGATCCAAACTATTCTCTCTCTATCCTAAACTGACAAGCTTAAGGGTGCCTCATAAGTGGACAGTGATATTCTGTACACTGTAAAAATGCATTGGAAAGCTAATTGAAATTTATAATACTTCAGCTTTGAAAAGGCCAAATAACCATTATAAAATAACTTATGTTCCATAATAATCTATGAAATATAAGTGATTGGCCATTCAGCTAATGCTCATGAATAAGCATTTGTTAGAGTTTTATTTAAATCTTTAGAGTTCATAGCTTCAATACAAAACATGGAATTTTGTCACCATGAACAGCAAAACCAGAAATGGCATTGATGTTTCATTCTTAAAATAAGAGTATCAGGTTTTAAAGTATCACCACTCCTGTAAAAGGTCTGTATCCAAGGCATCTTTAGTGTTTAAAGTCACTTGGTGGAATGCAATGCATTTTCCAAGAGCATCCCATACATGCTTGACAGAAGTGAACTTCATTCAGTTAGTCCCCTCTTCAAACAGTTTATCACATTGAGAACAGACATTGTGATCTATTAGGCTGAAATCAGGACTAACTGCAGCTCAAACAATCACAAGCTATGGTCTGCTTATAGTCAGGCTTAATAAAACTTGTGTCTAACCCTTTGAAAAACATCCAGCTGTGGATACCAACATTTGATTCAGTCTCAAATCAGCTACCTGCCTACAACTAGATCAAGCCAGAACTGACAGATAGCAGTCCCTTATGTTTGTAATGGATTATGGTTTGGCTTGTTCAGGTTATCCAAACAAATGTACCTCTAGTTTGGAAGCAGTCACTTTGAGAAACTTATAACTAATTCATAACAGTCTATAGTTAGCTTCCATTTATTTGAGGGCTCTCCACATACAGGAAACATTAAAATATCTTCTTTCAGGTCTAGCCATGGCTTAAGGAGGACTCATCTTTTCAGATTTAGTTCAAAGTGAGAACCAAGAAAATATTGTGTAAGATTACCAAATATAGTATGAATGGCCAATTAATTGAATTTCAGATCACATGGCTGATTGTCAGATGCCTGATTTTCATAATAATGAGCCCCAGGGGTGTTTGTCATTAGTTTGTAAGTCATTTTTCTTTGTCACAGCTATTGTTTTACAACTTCCAATAATACCCACACAGTTTATTTTACACTACATAAAATGATAAAACTCAACAAGTGCATTTTCCTGTACTTACCCTATATTTGTTAGGTAAACCACGACATCCATGGATTTTCATTATGAAGTGCAAATTCTTCCCAATGAGTTCAGCTGGATTGTCTATAAACACATCATCATTTTCACAATACTCTTTTCCAGTTTCTGTACATGGTACAACTTCCACCTGTACAAAACAATAACCTAGATCATTTTTGTTAATGACACATAACATGCTTTTACAAATTAAAATTGTTTATTTAAATTTAAAATAAAAATTAAAGTTTCATTTTTAATTTTGTTTATTATTTTGACAGAAAGGTGTTCTTCATGCATAAAAACCATTTCTAATGAAACAAATAATGACATGATAAAACATAATACGAGTTGTCAAACTTACTTTTTTGAGTATTAATCAATGTTGAATACATAATGAAAAAATTCTGAGTGACCAACTTTCTTCTTATAAATCTTTACTTAACTTATTCCCAATCAAGGAACAATCCTTCAATAAAGATATATAAGTTACTCTATTTACTAAGGATGAGTTTATTTTTAGAAATATTATTAAAATGTGAATATCTGGTAAGTTTTGAAAACACCTCAAAACTGTATAAGTTTTCAAGGCAGAATTAGTAAGTTGCTCACATAATATAACATTAAAGAAAAACAGGGGACCTTTTGATCCATCTAGACCATCCTATCTACTAAATTAAACTAAACACTAAAAAACTAAGAGCTAGCCCTTATCATTTATACATTTATCAAGAGTCCCCTTAAATTAACTACATTTACCATACTAGAAGGCAACCCATTTCAAAGGCCAACCACTCTGTTAGAAAATTAAGCTGTCTTAGCTGTAGATCACTTCTACCCTGCTAAAATGTATATTTGTGTCTCCTGCTCTTACTATTCGCACCATTAAACATGAAAAATGATGATGTATCAACACTATCAATTCCCTTAACAATCTTAAAAACCTCAATCAAATTCCCTCTTCCTCTTCTTTTTTCAAGAGAAAACAAGTTCTGAGATCTTAACCTATCTTCGTATGATAACCGTTCCATCCCAGGTATCATCCTAGTAGCCCTACTCTGAACTCTTTCCAGCAATTCAGTGTCCTTTCTAAGGAAAGGAGCCAAAAACTGAATACAGTTCTCCAAATGTGGCCTAACCAATGACCTATACAATGACATCATAACTTCTTTAGATTTGTATTCAACATTTCTGTAGATTCAACGTAAAATTCTATTTTCCCTGCCAATAGCAACAGTACATTGCTTGGATGGCTTAAGAAACTGATAAACCAGAACAACAAGAACTTTTCTTCCATAACACTGTTAAAGTTATTCCAATAAAAATTAAACTCTTAATTGAAATTGTGATATCTCACATGCATTACCTTACACTTATTATAATTATAAGTCATCTTCCATTTATTCTCTCAACTCATCAAGTAATCAAAACCCTTTTGTAAAGCAGTATATAGCATCTGCCTCACAACACCAAAAACTTTAATTTCATCCATAAATTTAAATAATCTATTAATCACTCATTCATCTACATCATTGATGTAAATCAAAAAGAGTAAAGATTCTAACATTGATGCCTGAGGTAATCCATCAGTGACATTAATCCAGTTTGACTGAACTCCATATATAACAGCCCTCACCATTCTTCCATCCAACCACTTTTCTATCCAATTTGGCAATTTATACCCCACAACTACAGAGATAACTGTTTTAACAAACCTTTTGTGAGGCACCTTGTCAAATGCTTTTTCAAAATCCAGATAAACCACATCTATATGTGTACCCTCATCTACATAAGCATTAACCTCTTCAAAGAATGTCAAAAGATTAGTTAGGTAAGACTTTTTCCCTAGTGAAACTATGCTAACTATTCAACACAATTTTAAACTTTGTTAAATGACTATGCAAAGCATCCTTTATCAGACTTTCAAAAACTGATGTAACAATAATAGGCCTATAATTACTGGAACAATTTTCACCACCTCCCATGAAAAGAGGAGTAACATTAGCCAATTTTTAATCCTCTGGCACCTGCCCACTATTCATTAACTTACAAACAATAGTAGCAATGTCTTACATATCCAGTTCTTAATCTCTTTCTAAACTCTTAAGTAAATATTATCTGGCATAGGAGCTTTATCATTCTTTATACTTCCCAATTTGTTTCTTAACAAGCTCAGAATTAATGTGATCATATTGTTAAATCCTGTTTCCATCTAGCAACCTTCATTTGTAATAACGGAAGAAAAAGTAGTATTTAATAACTCAACCAACTAATAGACAGATATTAGTCTTTCTGTATCATCCCTCAAAGACCCCTACTACCATCCTAATATTTTGCTTATGCTTGATGTGTTTGAAGAAATCTTTAGTAATAATTTTCATATTTTAAGCCAGCCTTTTCTCAGATACTTTTTGACTTCCTAATTTCCCACTTAACCAACACTCTTAATCTTCTAGAATTCTTCAAATCTCTCGCCATTTCATTTTTATATTTATAATGCTTTTCTTTAATTTGAGCCTTTATAACCTTTGTGAGTCAACCTGTTTCTTTTACTCACAGTCACACTTTTTTGTTTCTGAGCAGCATGCCTATTTTTGTCTACTAAAAGTAAAGTCTGGACTGAGAATTTTCCATCTGAGTCATTTTAGAGATAAACACAATCACAACAATCAACTTAACAAACCTTGTCTTCAAACAAGAGTTTATCCACAGTTTCCAGTTTTTCACAACCCTTACAATAACTCTACATATAAAATGTAAATACAAAAAAAGATACTTCTGGAAAATGTAAAGAGACTTCCCAAAGAGGACTCAAATCCAAGAGCTTCAGCTTATGTTGAATTTTACAATTTGAGTGAACTTTATATTCATACTCATACACTTTTAAAAATTATAAAATATACTACTGACAAAAAACATAAAGAATAAATATATATTTCTCCTTCCAAAACTAATCATAAAATATACTTGTTCCACAAATTTCATTTTTACTCTAAGAGCACAACTTTATCTGGCTTGACTGAAAATAAAAGACAAATGCTTACATTCATGATTCCCACTTCAGTCCCTTTAAAATCTGTAATTTCCAACTGTTCTTTTTGTTCGACCTGGTAGACAAACACAAAAGTTGAATTGGTAAAATCAGAAAACCCTGTATTTACAGTAAGAAGTTGGAACTTAACTGTACACAAAGGAATAAAATACAATTTACTGACACTGGATAGATAGTACTACCTAAAATACGTAAAGAAAAATCCGTTATCACCTAATTATTTCTAGTATTAATTCTTCGTCACATTTCATTGCCAAATTCATAGCCAATACATTTTTTTTCTTATTCTCAAAACAAAAACACTTCAATAAAGATTCAACACTCTTTGTGAATCAAATCCAGTCTTTAAAACTATCCCTTAATAATATTATGGTTTCTTTAGATATATTGTATCTTTATTCACTTCAATTCCTGTAAATGAAGCCATTAGCTGTTTCGAAGACAGATTAATTCAATATAATATTTATCCACTTGAAATTAATGATATCATAAACGTGACAAATACCTGTACCTAAGTTTTTTCCAATTAAATAAATTCTGTTCTCAAATTCAAGGACTACCTATGGGATCTTCCCACTCACTACAACTTTGCATCATTTTCAAGAATTATTTTGAAACTACTACTCCTTCTCAACTTTCACTGAAACCAAAACTTTGGTTAAGATATATGAACAATATGTTTCAAGTGTGGAGTCATGATGATATTAAGTTAAAATATTTTTACACAAATTAAAAAATTCACGTGATAGCATAAAATTTACAATTTGATTGAACAAAGTATCCAACTGATTTTTTTTAGATGGTTTGCTAGCTTGATTCTTCCCTAAAAATAACAGTTTTTCAGAAACCTTTTGTGGCACAGTATCCCCACAAATAAATTCATATCACCACTTTTCTTAAAAAATTGGTGGGTTCCATATTCTAATTTACAGAGCTTTTCATATTACATCCAATGGTGTTAACCCGTTCCATGAAATTAACTATCCTAAAGATGTAGCCATAGACAGAGGATATGATAAAATTGTTAAAAAATAATTCATAAAATTAATTTGTTCGATTTCTACTGTTTATATAAAAAAATAAAAATAAAATATTTGTCTGTCTTAATCCCCTAAGATCTCATACCAAATACAAAAACTTTTGTCTAGACATATGGATTGACAAATTGCTTATAGATCTTTTAAAATAAATTGAAATCTTCTTTCTTTTATTGAGAGATAACAACTTTTTACAAAAACAGAATTTATAAAACATAGTGTAAATGTAATAACGTAGTCAATATAGGTCAGACAATTTGTAAACTAAAATTTTATTTGAATGAATACACAAACTTGCAGTGAAAAAAAAGCCGCACTTTATTGTGTGTAAAAGAACATGCTATCAACTATAACTATGTGATGAAATTGAACTAATTTGATTCCTGAATAATCACACTACCTGATGTCACTGGAAATAATTAAACACAAAGATTTATTTTTTCTTTAAATAAAGTTGAAGGTCCAAGAGTTTCTATCCTCTAGTTGTAGTTGTAGTTGTACATGATACAAGCCTTCTTGAGTGCTGAAAGCAGTCTCAGCTTTTGTTGTTTAGTCTGACTTGCTGCTAGTCTGAAGCAAAATCTATTGAACTGTCTTACCATTTTAGCTTTGAGAGACAGATTAGTTGTGAACTCTTTTATTAAAATAACTAGTGAACTTTTGTGGTAGATTAAGTTATTAAAAAGTACCTTAATATCAATAACTTTAGCTTATTTGGCATGTGAGATGTTCCTAGTTGGATTGTGATGCAAAAACTTAAATTATCATATTTGTATAAAGTTTTTTAATTAAAATACCAAATATTTAGACAATATAACTCAACAACTTGTTCTAAATATTTTTGTTTATATATGATTTACAAATAAAGTTTTATCTCTTTCTCTAAGAACTTAGGAATTACAATATTACACCATCCTCAGTGTAATATTGTAGTTCCTGCTTAGGAATCTTTTAAAATGCTAATTCATACGAGTATAACCAGTATAGCTTTACATTAAGAACTACATTCTGAAATGAACTTATTTACACAGGAATCAACAACAGTATGCTTACCATATATGCCAAAGGTTGCAGGAAAACTTGAACATTCCCAATGCGTACTTCTGTATTGATGTGCTCAATGAAAGGATCTCTCTCCTAAAATATAATTAAAATGTATAGTTAACAAATAAAGAAAAGGAACCAAACGAAAGAATACTATTATTAGACTATTTTTGTTTATATCATTCTTCATTATTGGAACAACTTAAAAACACTTTTATATTATCATATACTTTTTACTTTTTCATTTATAAAACTTAACCATGCTTCCAATTTATAAACATGTTGATGAATACTCAAGTGAATATATATATATTTTTTTATAATAAGTGTATATTTTGTACATAATATTGATAATTATAAGTTTAACGTCATTAAATCATTTCTGGTAATGATGCATACTTAAAGAACATTTAAAAAGATACATTCTACAGTAGAATAAGAGTTAAATGCAATGTTAAGATAAGTTATAATTGATATATTTTAATAATATTAGGACTAATTCTATGGCCTAATTCACATATTTCTAGGATTAATAAATTACTATAATTATTAATTTATGCAGATTATTAAACTATAAGATTTTGTTGAAATGTATAAATGATTATTTATTAAAAGAAATGCTTTATTTCTTTTTAAATTAGCTCTTGAATATGAAATATTTCCTTTAATGATACTTTAAGAATGTGACATAAATAATGTACTAGTATCTGTTCTTATATACAAGCTACATGAGATTGTTGATGTTAGACAGACCCTCACTATTCTCCTCATATGGGATAATTCCATTTATGAATCCTTCCTGAGATAGACCATATTTTACAGTCCATATTGAATACACCCTTTTCTGACATATGACTAATGCTACTGAAAGGTCCAATCCTCCTTCTATGTATGTACACTTGCCACAAGTAAGCTGTATTATTCTTCTCCTATGTATAATTAATCACACAAGGACAAGTCCAGTTTTAACCTAATTTATGATTATTTATTTTGAGCATGTTCCAGTTTTTTTTAAAAAAGTTTGGTAATCCACCTCAAGGAGGTCCCACTTTTATTATAATATTTGGATGATCACCTGAAGTGGATCTCACTTTATTTCTAATTTAATATTGGTCACCTTGGTTAGGTCCCAGGTTTTTCTAATACATGATTACTCACCTCAGGTAGGTCCCACTCTTCTCCTGACTCATAGTTCTGATACATTTCTTTCATCAAGTACAATCGATTTAGGAAAACATCTTTTGGCCACTCAAACTCAAGTTCATTTTCCAAGTTACGCATTTTAACCAGCACCTGACAAAAATAAAAATTAATTATTACATAAAAAATAATGGTTAAAAACTTAAAAGATATTATAAAAAAAAAACAGCTTTCTGAAAAGCATAACAAAAAATTACTCTTAATAGTAACTATTATTATTGACACTGGACATACCAAAAACATTTACACACACAAAGTTGGGATTAATATTCAAGATCAAAATATAACATATATTAACAGAAGTAAACAATTTTCTCAAAACCAACCACTAAATTTACCTAATTTACAGAAGGGATATATTTTTCTAAACTGTAACACATCTTTATTTTAGCTATTGAATATTACAACATAACTTTTGTGTTTTTGAAACTCATTTTATACCTTAATATAACAAAATTTGAAATATCTGTTTAGTACCAACTATTCCAAATAAAATTTATTCCACAGCTGTTAAATTTCTAATTCAATTCAAAAGTTCTTTCTTAAGGAATTTTTACATTGGTACAATTCATAAACAAATAGCAAAACATTTCTGAGGTGTTATTACACAATACACAAAAGTCTTAAAAAATTCATTAAATTATCTTATATCTTAACTATAACAGTTTAGTGCCTTAACTTGTGGAAAAAACAATAACAAAACATTTTTTCCAAAATTATTATCCATATATAAATATTAGAAGTTTGTATCTATTTTGCACATGCTTTTATTGGTGTTTTATGGAAGTAATAAGTAATAAAGTTTTTAGGGAAGTTAGTAAAAAGATTATGTACCTTTAAAAGCAATAAAAATATTTTTGGCTTAAATGTTGAGATAGGATAATTATTTATCCCTGAAAATGAAATTTATTCATTAATGTGAAAAAATTGGCAAACCTATTGAAGTAATTTAACCCACTAGAAATTCGACTTATGGTTAGAACAGAATATACAGACATTCTTGGGAAGATGATACCTGTATTTTTGGCCTGCAGAATATTTGAAATTACCCATGATAGAAATACTATCCACTTTATGACAAGATGATAACAATAATTTGAGGATAGAGGTCAAAGATCACTACCTTGGTCAACTAGCCTTAAAATCAAGCTTCATCTGATCAGAACAAGCATGAGAAAATATTTTAAGTAAATGATTCTTTAGAATTTGATAATCCATAAAAAATGCTGAGAAACCAAATCTGGCACAGGAATATAATCAGCTAAACTAAGAAAAGCAAAAAAGATGAGAAAAGCTGAAAAGAAAGGTAAAAAAGGAGACTTGAAGCTAAGCTTGTCTCTAAGGTGTGTCTCTTGAAGCCTTAACATTTAATTTAAATAACTTTAAAATTTAAACCAGGGCACTTCTTATCCATTCCTATCTACACATGGAATACAGTCTCAGCTCATAAGTTTATGAAATTAGTAATAAAATAATAAAAAAGTTTGATAATACTTGAGCTCAAACTTAAAGAACTATCTTTAAAACAACATTATTCTTAAAATAATGAGTAAATCATGCTTAATGTTTCTTGACCACACAACTTAATGATTTTAAATTTATTCAGATGACCATACACACAGCTTTAAGTCAACCTGTGATGGTTTCATAAATCCCATCAAAGTGAAAAATTTAATATAAAGATTAATCCTAGGTTATTCGAAAAACTAAGAAGAAACTTACAATATTTACTGAAAAAAAACAAATAATTTAATATTCAAATACTACAGTAATCTTTATTCTTTTTAAATTCATCATGTAATAGTTAAATTAACTTTGTTAAGGTTACACTAACTTGTTTTCCTCATTGTGATTGCTCAGTTACCTCATTACAAGATAAAAAACTTGTGTACCTGTGAACTGATATTATGAACTAAACTCTACAGTTATGGGCTATGTAGAACTCACCTCTGTCCTTCCTGACAACTTGCCTATCATCTGTGGAGATATAAGCATAACTTCAAACTTCACTCGTTTGTCAAGCTCTTCACTAATGGAATTAGCTTCATCTATTCCAGGCAAAACTTCCAGTAGATCCTTATTAAGTAGAGCAGTCTCTGGACATAGTAATAATAAAATTTCAATTTTAAAATTTAATAAGTTTAAATATGCCCAAATACATATGTATGATATATAAATATTTTTTATTTCCATTAAACATTCTAAATTACTAGTAAATTTCAAAGAATTAAAATCCGGACAGAACTTATGGGATGACCTGATATATATTCAAAATATGGCTCTATTGATATAATATTTTGATTAACAAAAATTCTGAAGTTCAAGTAATGATGTGCTTACTATTTCAACAACCTTATTTTTATTCCTGTATGTAGAGTGTGTGACTTTATGGTATGCATATGATTTTACAGAATAAAGTATTTCAAATTTCACTGATTAAAGCCCTTTGAACATAATTCATGAGGCACCCATTTTCCAAGTTTAGGAACCTTTCCAAGTTGTTGAAGATGAAGATGAACAGTTGTATGGTTTGAACCCAGCTTCATTGCCAATTCTTCAACTGATACTGCAGGATTTTCTTCAAATGATGCCACAAGGAGCATATCATCAAACTCAACTGGACGTCCTGTTCGGTCTTCATCTTCAAGGCTGAAATTTCCACTTCTGAATTTTGCAAACCATCTTCTGCAAGTTTGTTCGTTCAGGCATTCTTCTCCATAAGCTGAGTGAATATTTCGAGTCGCTTCGGCTGCAGAGTTCCCTTTTTTAAACTCATAAAGCATTATATGCCTCAAATGCTCCTTAGATACTTTCGAGCAGATCTCAACTCGCGATTTGCGGTTCACTTCAGACAATGTGTTATACATTAACTGTGTTTATTTTTTGTATTACAATGTGAAAGGTATGTTTGTATATGTAATAATTTATCAAATAAAATCTTATTTGTATGTGAGAATGATATTTGATTATACTTATTAATGATAAATTCAGCAATCCATAACAAGCATGAATGTCTAAAAAGTAGTAGTAGCTGAAGGTTTTAGTATTGGATAATAGGAAACCATAATCAAAGCTAATTTTGTAAGTTCTGTAAAGCAAGTTTAGGGTTATATGGATATGATATCATGATATATTAATGCTTTTTCTTCTTATGATGTGTTTCATTAACCTAATATTCAAACACCAAATTTGATACATTTTTATTTATTCTTCCACATATGAATAATTTACTAATTCATCTCTAAGTTTAAGAACAAAGCTACTTATCAGTTATTTTTTTGTGGTATAAGAATACCTGTAAATTTATCCTATTAAAATGACAATTTATGTAACATATAAATATAATACCACAAATAATTTGTACAATGTTTAATTTTCAATTAGAGATACAAAGAGAAGCAAAAACCCCCTAGTTTCATGGACTTTGTTAGACCAACAGGTTGTATAATGCTTGAAGACTAAGAGCTTTAGATTTGTTTGTTGGCCAACTGCTAGTACTTTTAATTATTAATTCCTAGAACAGTCCAGTACATTATCAAGTTTGATCTTATAATATCAATTTATTTTGTTACTGGGAAAATTTAAAGAATAATTATATTTTTTTTCATAAAAGTGAATGATTTAGTTCTTAATTATTCATATATCTAATGAATTTTTGTTTCCTCCTCAAGTAACATGGAAGAAAAAGAGTTAGTTGCACTTGACTTTGACCACACAATCATAGATGCAAACAGTGACACATATGTTGCTAAACTAGCCCCTGGTGGTGTGATACCTGAAGACATAGAAGCTCTACACAAGCCAGATGGTTGGACAAAATACATGCAACAAGTTTTTCTTTTCCTTTACCAGAACAAGGTTCAACCACAAAATGTATTAGATTGTTTATCTGAAATTAGTTTTACCCCAGGTATGAGGGAACTATTATTGTTATTGTCAAGCTTCAAGAGGTTTGAAATTATCATAATATCGGACTCTAATTCAATGTTTATAGATCATATTTTGAAAGTTGGGCAGGTTGCACATACAGTTTCAGAAGTCTTTACAAATCCAGCCTACTTTGACCAGTTTGGGAGATTACATGTTAAGGAATTCCATGTTCAAGATATGTGCACTCTTAGTTCTAAAAACCTTTGTAAGGGTGAAATTTTACAGTCATACATAAAAAAAAGATCAAGTGAAGGCACCCAGTTTTGTAGGACAGCGTTTATAGGAGATGGAAACCATGACTTTTGCCCTTGTCTTCAACTTTCTGTTAATGATTTGATTTTCCCAAGGATTGGGTTCTCTCTGTGTAAAAAATTATCCAGAAACCCAGAAATGATTAAAGCCAAAATTTACCCATGGGAGTCGGGGTTTGATATCAAAGATGTATTACTCTAAAAGAAAGCCAAAGATTTGAATCAGGTTGCTTGTTTATTAAACAAAATGTAAGTGCTAATTATTGAAGTTATGAGTATGTTTGTTAAAGAATAACTAAATATCAGGTCATCCCATAAGTTCTGTCCGGATTTTAAATAAAGAAAACGAGTGATCAAATCTTACATTTTATTGAAATTTAATCATCAATGTAGTTTCCATGATTATCTATGACTTCTTTCCATCTGCTTACAAGCTTTTTAATCCCACTACTAAAAAACTCTTTCGGTTTCGAAGAGAAGAACTCTGAAATGTCAGTTTCGACCTCCTCATGGCTTGTGTGAGTTAATCCATCCAAATGATTCTGTAAACTACGGAACAAATGGTAGTCTGAAGGAGCAAGGTCGGGAGAATAAGGCGATGAGGAATTTTCTCCCAACCAAGTTCTTCAATCTTCTGGGACGTGATTTTTGCAGTGTGGGGTCGTGCATTGTCCTGATGAAACACCACTCCTCTTCGATTCACTAAAACAGGTCGTTTTTTCTTTAAAGCCCCGTTCAAACGCTCTAATTGCTGACAATAGACTTGAGCATTGATTGTCGCATTAGTTGGCAGCAACTCAAAGTGAATAATTCCTTTGTAATCCATCCCACCAGATAGAGAGAAGAACCTTCTTCGCATGAAGTTCCATTTTCGGTTGTGGTTGGGCCTTTTCCCCATTACGAAGCCACTGCCTACGACGTTGAACATTTTTATCAAAAATCCATTTTTCATCACCGGTCACAAATCTATCCAAAAAGGGTGAGATAAGGTCACGAGAATGAAGAGAAATGTATTGCTCATCATAGTCTCAAATCTCTCTTATAATAATCTAAGAGACTTTTATAAACACTTAATTTATGTTTTCAAGAGCTATTAAAACCTTCAGTTTAGCCAAAAGCATCGCTAAAGGAGATCATCAGCCAGTAACGTAACATTAACTGCTAAATGTTCTGCTGATTATTCCGATTCTGGCATTAGAAGGGCTAGCTCACCAGTGCTTTAACTGTTGCGTTAATTTACACACAAAAATTTTGCATTTTTAACTTTGGGAATGCAGAATCACATAGCATATCACTAACTTCAACACATGATGTCCATCAAGACAACTTATCATGCCAAGCTAAAACTGCTACCTTAATAGCGACTGCCATTCATTATAAAATGTTTATTGGAATTGTTTAAAAAAAAAGAGGAGAAACAACTAATAAAAAAATAAGAATGATGTAGGAATGGCAATGCCATAGAGTACACAAACAAGGTACGGATGAATACACAAAACCATACAAAAAGTCCCTATATAAGTAGTCGCTGATTCAATGTTATAAGCTTATGGGAGTTAGCCATTGTGAGACTTTATAGCATTATTCACTTTAAATGATTTAATTCAAACCCAAATTCATGCAAATTAAAGTAATTTAACACTTAATTGTAGATAAGAGTTTTTCTTGGAGAGATTTGGTTATTTATATACAGATTTTTTGTATGGTTTTGTGTATTCATCTCTACCTTGTTTTTGAATTTTTGGGCATTGCCATTCCTACATCATTCTTATTTTTTTCAAAATATTTTTTATCACTTGTATATATACTACTAGTAATAGTTTAACAAAAACAAAATATGAATTAATATGTAAACTATGGAATGTTGTATGCATTGTTATGCATATCAGGCATCTGATGCAAAATCCTCTATTGTTAGTAAATGGATTGGATGGTTTACATTTAGATAGGGCAGAGTCAGGATTTTTTGCAAGAGCTATTAACTAGCCTGTAAGGGAAACTAAACTAGGACTAGACAGTGGTGAGGGTTAGGATAAACTAAATGCAAAAACAATAAGATGTAGAGAAACATTTAGCACAAGAAATGAGTATATTAGTAGTTATAAGGATAGGCTTAATTGTTATTATTGTAATGCTAGAAGTATAAGAAATAATAAAGATGACTTAAGGGTACTGGTAGGAATGAAGGATTTTGATATAATGGGAATAACTGAAACATGGTTAAACATTGATGATTTTGAAGACAAAAATTTCTTTGGAATACAGGGTTATAAGTTATTTAACAGGGATAGAGTACTAATGATGAGTGGCTTTATATGTAAAATGTGAGTTACATCTTGTTGAAGTTAATATCTAAGATAAGAGCAGAGAAATTGAATCCATTTGAGTTTCTATTAGTGGATATAAAGAGAAATACTTTTAGTGGGAATTTGTTACAGACCACCAAATGATACTGTTGAAATTAGTGAGAAACTTTACAGTGAAATTAAGATTTCAGCTGTTTATGAGTCATAATTATGGGTGATTTTAATTTCAGGTATATAGATTGGGAAATACTAGAGTTAAACTATGAGGGAGAAAGGTTTTTAGAAATTGTTCTAGATGGTTTTCTTCACCAATTGGTCTAGGAACCTACTAGAAATAATGCCATTTTAGATTTATTGATAACTTCTAATATAGAAATGGTTGAGAAGATGGAAATTGGGGAACATCCAGATGTAAGTGGTCATTGCTATATTAGGTTCAATGTTTTGCCGTGTGTGGAGATAAAGAAAAATGATAATTTGGTTACAAATGAAAAAAAAAAGCAAATTTTGAAGGGATGCGACTATAATTATCTTTTGTGAATTGGGCAGCTGAGTTATCTGGAGACACTAATCAAATGTGGAAAATTTTTAAATATTCAAGATAAACATATTTCTTATAGAAAGAAAAGGGTAGCTGCAAGTAAAAAACCAGGTTAGCTCACAAATATTATAAGAGATAAAATTAAAAAAAGGCATCATAAATTTAAGAAATTTAAATTGACTGGTATGACATGATATTTAGAAGATAATATAGAAGATCAAGAAACTTGGTGAAACAGAAATTATCACATCGAAAAGGTTGGCTGAAAATGTAAAATTTAACAGGATTTCTTTAAATACATTAAGGGTAAACAAAATGTTAAGATTGGGTAGGACCCTTGAGGGATGATAAAGGAAGGCTTGTATCTGATGATTATGAGGTGGCTGGATTATTAAATTTTCCTTTTCTCAGTTTTTACTTACGAAGATTTAACCAGTATTCCACATCTTGAACAGTTGATAGATGTAAATAAGATCGAACAAGATGATTGCATTAATTTTGAACTTGTTAAGAAAAAATTGGGAAGTTTAAAGAATGACAAGGCTCCTGGGCCAGATATTTCCCCAAGGGTTTTGAAGGAGGTTAAGGATTGGATGTGAGCCACTTGCTACTGTTTTGTATAAGTCCTTGAATAGGGGGCAGGTACTATAGGATTGGAAGTTATTTAATGTCACTCCTCTTTTCAAGGGAGGTGATAAATATTTTCCCAGTAATTATAGGCCCATTAGTCTTATATCAGTTGTGGGAAATGTTTTGGAATGTCTGATAAAAGATGCTTTTCAAAGACATTTAACAAAGTTTATAATTTTATTGAATAGTCAACATGGTTTCACTAAGGGAAAATCTTGCCTTACAAATCTTTTGACATTCTTTGAAAAGGTTACTGATTATGTAGATGAGGGTAAGGGTGTAGATTTGGTATATCTGGATTTTCAGAAAGCATTTGACAAGGTGCTACATATAAGGCTTGTAAAAAAATTATCTATAGGTGTGAGTGATAAGTCAGCTAATTGGGTAGAAGAGTGGCTGGATGGAAGAAAGCTGAGGGTTGTTTTAAATGGAGTTCAGTCACACTGGATTAATGTCATAAGTGTGGTACCTCAGGGCTCAGTCTTAAGATCTTTGGTATTTTTGATTTACATCAATGACATAGATGAAGAAATGGTCAATAAATTACTTATATTTGCTGATGATATTAAGGTTTTGGGCATTGCTGGCTGTGAAGAGGATGCTGCTGATTTACAAAAGGATGTAGATCATTTAGCGAGTTGGGCAAGTAAATGGCAGATAGGTTTTGATTATGATAAATGCAAAATAATGCATGCGTGTTATCATAATTTGAATTACAAGTATAATTTGAATAGGAATAACTTTAACAGTATCATTTTATTTTTTTACAGATTGATTAGCTTATGAAATGGGTTGCCATCTACAATAGTACAGGTTGGCACCTTACAAGATTTTAAGATGAAAATAGGTGTTTTCTTAAGAAATAAAAGGTGGATTCAAATTTTCCCTTTTACTCAAGGGTGGGAGTATAGGGACAATCTTGAATGACCAAATAGGCAGTTGGGTGTTTGATGAAATGAATGGGATAACTATACTAGGCCAGTGGATCCCTTGTTTCTTCTCAGATGTTTCTTGTCTGTAACATTGTTATTTAACTGTTTTGTGAACTACAACAACTAGACTATTGAAATTAACATGCATTCATTGGAAATTACTTACCATTTATGGTAATTGTAAAAATGCGTCGGCCATCCCTACATAATATTT